ATTTCAGGGCAGCCCCCACTGCTGGCATTTCCAAATCCCCAAAAATCCCCACTGGATGAAATTTCCAAAATCCCCCAAAATCCCCACAGATGCTGGAGCTTTGCTGAGGGGAGGGCACAGCATCCCTCGGTGGGGATCGGGAAGGCCACAGCACCCCCCAGGATTGTTTCGGAGCAGATGAAACCGGGATTGTTTGAAAATCTGGCGTCGGGGCTTTAGAAATGCAAAGCGTGGAAAGCGATCCTGCGGAGGATGGGACAAAGAGCCGTCACAGAGGGGCTTTCAGAGGGTTGATGGATAACTTCCAAACCCATCTCACCTCACAGGAGGATCCAGCAGGGCTGTTAATGCATCCAGCCTGGTACCCTGCCGCCTGCAGAGCCCCACACCAGAACCAGAGCTCTGGGGGGATTTCTGAGCCCCTCTCTCTGCTCAGCCCCCAAGCGTGAGAGCTGCCCGTCCTTCTGCTTTCCCATGTGGTTCTCAGCTTGCCTGGCCGCGTTTGCAATGCTAATTTCAGCTGAGAGATGCTGCTCAAAGAAAGGCTTTTGTTCTCCCAGCCCGGGGTCAGACAGGACAGAATTTACCTCTGCAGGCTCCGGGGTCCCACCGGGGTCCCTCTGCTCAGCAGCAGCAGCCTGGCAGGATTTTGGACCCCAAAACCTTGCTCTGAGCCAGGGCAGAAGTCACTGCCAGCCTGGCAGGATTTTGGGACCCCAAAACCTTGCTATGAGATTGGAGAGAAGCCGCTGCCAGCCTGGCAGGATTTTGGACCCCAAAATCTTTGTGAAAAATGCATGTATTTATGATTGGCTTTTCGCAAACATTCTAATGAATATTAAATGTGTTGTGTTAGAAAGTGATGCTGTATTAATTCTCTTAAGTACAGTGTTAAATATAGTTTTAGGTTATAAAAAAATGTTAAAATAGAAACTATACTATGTAGGACGCTTTTTTTAAAGAAAGGACTCGCAGTGAGAGAGCAGCCACAGGACACCTGAATCTTTCAGAAAAAGAAGAAAAAGAGAATTTATTGCCCTCTTATCAGAAGAAATTAACTTCTTCCCCCCTCGAAGGGGCTGTTAGGATTCAGTGGAAGAAGTTGACACTGATCAGACAGAATCCTGTGTTTGAATGGAATTTATGAATCAGGTATGAGGTGTATGAATATGCAACAGGCTGTTGTTTTTAAGGGTTAATCCTTTGTTAGTTGTGTCCTTTTTCGGCCTCCTACTGCCCAGAAAAAGGTACCTGGATGACTGTAACTCTTTGTATTTATTGTCTCATATTGTCCTAATTCAATTTGTCCAAATTATTATTACTCTAATTGTATTACTATTTTTATAACCATTTTATTACTATTAAACTTTTAAAATTTTAAATATAAGTGACTGGCATTTTTCACACCTTGCTCAGAGCCAGGGGAGAAGCCACTGCCAGCCTGGAACAGATCCCATTTCCCCATCCTGCTTCATGCAGGAGAATCTCCTTTTCCCTTTCTCCTTTTGGGACTGAGAGGAATGATAGGTTTGCCTTTACAAACAAACTGTGGAGCTGCTGGTAGATAAAACCAGCACTAGGAGGTAAAAGAAACAACAGGAAGGATTCCACTGATTGATGAATGGAAAAAGATATTTACCTTCACAAACAAATTGTAGGTTTTGCTGATAAATTAAATTGGATATAGAAAGATGAAAGAAACAATGGGAAAACCCCTAAATTCCATAAGAATTAAAAATTTAAAAGGAGGGTTATACATTAGAGAGGAATCTTTGGTATCAGGCATTCTGGGAAGTCTGAACCTCTCAAGTACCTCAGAAATGGGGAAAGAGAGAAAGAAAATTGGGATAGAAAGGTGGCTGCATCCTCCCAAAATTTGAGAGGCCTCATCTCCTGTCCCTTTATTCGAATAAAAAAAAAAAGACTCCTAAATTTGAGAGGACCCATGGCNGATTAAATCATGGGATGATATTTCTTCTTTGGACTCAGATGTTTATTAGTTTAGTGTATTAGACTAAGACGTTTATTAATTTAGCGTATTAGACTATGCCAGAGTCTCACAAACCCTGAGTTCTACAGCACTTCACTCTAACAAACCAAAAATGGAGCCCCATCTCTCTCTCTACAAGGCCTTTAAAGGATAAACTGTCCAATTAAGAAATGACACCTAAATTGTTTTTACTTTTAAGCCAATAACCAACCACCCATGGCCTGCAATGGGGACTTTTTTATCCAATTACACAAAACCACCCAAACCCGAGGAGGAGGAGGAGGAGAAGGAGAAGGAGAAGGAGAAGGAGGACCAGCCTCTGCCCTAAAATCTCCATCGTGCTTTATATATATTACTATATTCTAAAACCTTCAACTCTAAGTTTCCCACCCTGTGATATCACACACTTCTATTCAAACTCCACACCCACAATCCCAGTTCTATCATTCCATTTTGGAAGCTTCTCCACAGCCTCAGGTCAATGCAGTGTTTTCTTGGGGGTCAGTGCCTGTCAGCACAGAAAGTCTGAAATTCTCAGCAGCCAGGATTCCAACATCACTTTAGGAGAACTAAAGCTGCTTAAACCTCCCTCAAGTCACCTTATCATGTAAAAATTCAGATTCCCAGAGGTCTGCTCAGCCCAGCCCTCAGGATGTGCATTAAGGGGAATTCCTGGGAGTGACATCCAGGGGGGACACACAGCTCCTGAAGGGAAGTGCAGACACAGGACAGACTCAGCAAAGCCCAGCTTACCTGATCCTCGGTGAGCAGGATCAGCCTGGTGACCAGGATATTGACAATATTGCCCAGACTCGAGTCCTGGAAAAGTTTGGCAACCTGACCTCCAAGAAACAAGAAAAGAGGAGTCTTAAAAATGAGCTCTGTGGCCAGGTGAGCTGGGGAGGGCTGGGCACTGCTGTGGGGAGGGTCTGAACCCAACATTTTTGGGAGGCAGGGATGGGAATGGGACACTTGAATAGCAGAATCCCCAAAACCACAATCAGAGCTCGCTGTCCCAGAGCAGTGAAACCAAAATCCCTCAGCCCAGGTGGGGCAGCCCCCACTGTTGGCAATTCCAAAATCCCTGCTATAAATAAAAAATCTGCCAATTTTTCTTTTTTTTTGAAAAAAAGTGTTATAGAGCCAGTTAAATCAGTTGCTGCCAAGGTGAAGTTCTACCTGTTTGTTATTGTAATCACCGGTTGTTCGTGTTAATTGCTCCTTTTGTATCGGTATGGCCCTGCCTGGGGTTAAGTTGTTCTTGTCCCCAGTGAGAGGAGGGGACATGGGGGGGCATCAGAGAGGATGCAAAATAACCTCGAGACCAGCANCTCCCAGTACAAAGTTGCTCTGTCCCAGTCCTTCCCAGTCCCTCCCAATCGCTCCCAGTCCCTCCCAATACAAAGCTGCTCTGTCCCAGTTGCTCCCAGTCCCTCCCAGGTTAGGTTAAGTTTCCTAGCCTGCTCTGAGGTTCATCACATCCAGTCATGGGGCAGACCTCAGGCAGCCCCAAAGCCTCAAGCAGCCCCAAACCCTCCCAGCTCCAGCTCCTTTAGGGATCCATAGGAGCTCCTGGGGGTGCTCGGAGCCCAGGAATGCAGGGCAGGGCAGGACAGGACATGTCCAGCCACAGGGTGGCCTTGCTGGAGCTGTTGTGCTGTGGTTGTTCTAAACTTTGGCTTCCCCTGCACATATCTGCTTTCCAAGAAGCAATTAGGAGAGGGCTGAATTATTTCTGGAAGCTGGGGAATGTGGCAAGGAGTCAGCAGGAGGGGAGTCTGCATCCAGCAGGGCTTTGGGAGATGGATGGGCAGGGCCAGGGAAGCACAGGATGGCTCCAGAGGTGCTGGTGGCTCCAGGGACACTCAGAGAAGGTGACAGTGCCTCCTCACCTGGCCAAGTGTCACAGCTTGGGCAGTGAGGGATGGACACCCTGAAGTGACACCCAAACAGGGTGTCAGTCCCTCCCAGTCCCCCCCAGTCACTCCCAGTCCCTGGCAGGATTTTTGACCCCAAGACCTTGCTCTGAGCCTGGAGAGAAGCCAGGAGCAGTCAGGGCCAGCTCTGCTCTGCTCCCACAAACTGATCCATGAAAAGGTAGGGATGGCAGCTCCCCTCAGCCCTACAGAGCCTCTCTGAACTGAGGGAGGAGCATCCTCTGGGCCTGCAGCATTTTGGGGAGATGGTGAAACTCTGCCTGCTCACAAGGAATTCCAGCCAGGCTCTGGCACAGACTGGTGGGAAGGGCAAGGACCAGGAGCTCTCATGGGGAGAGGCCAGGACTGGTATTTGTGGGTCCTTTTGGAGGTGAAAGCCCTGTAGGTGCAGCAACGGGGCTGATGTGCTGTTGAAGATTGCAATGCAAGACATTTTCAATTGCCATCTGTATGGCAGATTATCTTTGTCAAGTGGGCAGTTTGCCTTATCTCTCTCTTTGAGTGACCACATTCACACCTCC